TCGTTCAGTTATCCTATGAGATACTGAGAGCGATATCGCAATCACTGTTTACATCACAGTAAATTGGCAAAATGAATTAATTGTTCATTACAGTGCGTCCATGACTCATTCACACTGTGTCATCAAGGACCTCAGAATGTATGGAGTTTTGCTCTGCAAAGTTTTTTCCAACAACTTTTTTCGGTCAGAAGTGATCAAAATCAATTTTGAAGAGCCTTCAAAAATGCAGCGCCTTGTCATTTCAACCAATTGTTTCTAAGACAAGTCTTTAAATTTCATTCGTGTCCGAATCGAATTGTACTTACAGCAAAATTTACATTTATCAGCAAAGATTGATCTAATTGAATGCTTAAAAGTCCGTAAAAAATGATTGAATTCAATTGGCAGGCAACTCACACACACACACGCTCATCGCTTCAATCAAAATGTGGAGCGAAAACAAAAGTCAAACTAAATAAAAACACTCATTCACTCTGACTGGTATGTATCGGTCGGTACGGTTCGCATGGTTCGAGCTCGGTTATTATATGGTTGTTTTATTTTATTAATAAATTTCATAATCAAACAATTCCATCATCATATTTATAAATTAGCGTAAATTGAATTTGATGCGCCGCGTCAACTAATAAACAAAAGTATGCATACGCCATGGCAGCAGCTCACACGCGAACATGAGGCCCGAAACACTCAAGGGAAGTGATATGACATGATGAAAAAAAAAGAGTTTTTTTTTGTTAACATTTCACGAAAACCGAACCGAAAAATAAAAACGAAATGCATGACGAACTCAAAGCGCGTGTTATTAGTTGAATCTGTTTTTTTTCGGAAATATTATTCGTCTGTTGACGAAAATGTCAACCGAGTCGAACTCTCATATGAAGCTGATACCCGAGAAGAAGAACAAAAAAAAAACGACATGTAAATAGCACTTGTTAAATAACGCAGTTGATGGAAAAATGCGCGCGAACACACACATACACACACACACACGATCGCATAAATGAATTGACTCCCAGGCTAATGCAATCGCATGATTGATGCATAAACTTTCGGCATGCTCTCTGCTCAATTTTCAACTGACTCTCTGTGTGTCATATACCGAAAAAGATGATAGACAGAGAAAGCAAAACACGAAAATGCAAAAGCGAGAGATCAAATTTCGTTGAACGAGTTAATAAAATGCAATTGTGGCTCGGGATGATGGTTACGAAGTGACTGGCGGTAAAATGAAGAGTTCCAGCACTGTTTTCTCATTCTCACTCGATTTATTATAATTTTTGTTTTTCATTGCCTTTATGTCAACTTGGATTAAATTAAAGTCATGCCTTTTTCCACTCAACATTCCATCCGCTCTCTCCGGTTCGAATCGAATTGAATCCATTGCATGCATGTAATTTTAATCGAAACGATGTTGCATGATGTCACCGATTTCGGTTTATTCTAATGAATTGTTAATTAATCAACTTAATTTATAACTTCATCACGATGTGCAACTGTGTCCTTTTTGTTATCACAAAAAACGCCACTTCTTTCGATCGGAATTCATATGAAAGTGTTGTTTTGCTCTTCCTCTCTCGCTCTGTTGTTGAAAGACATTCTTTCGTCCAGTGCATCTATTTGCTACTTGGACTTTAAACTTTGCATTTTCGACATCATGAGCATCAACTGGCTTATTGCGTTCAACTGCCGCTTTATAAATTACATTTTCATACTCATCGACAAAACAATAAATTATTGTAATTCTAATTGGTTCACACACTATTCATTTTGCTTTAGCGCACGACATAGCTTTCAACACAAGCGCATAAATAATTAATTGAAATTGTGATGGATAAAACAACGAAAAGCCGTTACACAGTGGCAGAGCGCAGGAGCGCAAGAGGGATAGAGAGAGGCTGACGATCGTGCGCGAGGCCACCGCGCGCTACTCTCGCCAACGGACCAACACAAATTTAGTTGAAATTGAATTAGATGCGTGCGATATGTTTACAGCGCAACGCAATTGAACGATTGATTCGCTTATGTTTTACATATTTAAAATTGAGCACTGGAAAGGAAGCAACCGACCGACCGACCGACTAATTCAAATCGGCTTGGCAAGCACACACATTTATTGCTAAAAAGCGAAACGTTCACAGAACTAACAAACGATACACTGCCACTGCCACACAACAAAAATGGAACTTAATAGATTTATTTTCGTTTTTAATTCTTCAATTTAATAAATGAAAATGGTTGCAAACAAACCGAAACATTCAAATCAAGCGACGATTTCATTTTATGTGTGTGTGTGTGTGTGTTCAGCTCAATTGATAAGCGAGTCATTAGAGACATTAGAGGCAACGCGCTCGTCGCATTTTAGCAGCGCGCGGCATTTCAGTCGCACGAACAAAAGAAAGCCATCGAATACATCAAATTAAACTGATTAATCGAAATGCTTTCCGCTGACTCATTTCACGCAAACACAACTCTATATGCCCCGAATCCTTTCTCTAATTTGTTGAAAATGGAATTTCATTTCGTGGGCTGGCCACCATACTTGCGAAATAGACTAAAACCAATTGCGTTATTAATGGCGAATTGTATTCTGTCTGTCTCATAAAATGATTTGTGGCAATGCTATTTTCCATTTAGCTCAGGTGCAAACAATTTTTCGACAACGACCGAATCCGCACATCACACAGCGCAGTGAGAAGAGAAAAAGGCATTTTACAAAAATTAGCTACGATCAAATTGCCCAAAATGAAAACCTCAACACCGACCGAATTTACTGGTAAATGTGTCGCATTTTCACCGCTAACACAGTATTTCATTTAAAATGAAGATAAATGCCATCCAATCCAATTCCAAATATTTAATATTCATATGATACACAACATTTTCACCGCTTGCTCATGTACACCGCCCTCTCTCTCTTTCTCTCTCTCTCTTTCTCTATCTCTCTTCTTCATCTTTCCCTCTCTACCGCTCTCGCTTGCCAACCCTGTCTGACGCTGCAAACAGATGGAACGAGTCGACAATCGTTAAACAAATGCGACACAGCAATTATATGATTGCTTTTGTAATTTGATCTGGTTTCACGTCTTGTTCCTACCGCACTCTCTCACACTTGGCCACCATCGACTGTATCTCTTTTTTTGCAATTTTTTCTGAGCTATCAAACAAACTCCAAAGAAATTGATACGAAGTGCATTAGATTTTTCAATTTTTTCCCCGTTTTGAGCACTGAAATTGAATTAGACTTCGATTTTATTCGATTCTCTACGGAATTAAAACGACAGTTTTCGTGACATTTGACGACGAAGCATCAGTCTAAGTGAGTGGTTGTGTGGCAACCAAACAACTTCTTCTCTTGTGAGAGCATTTTTTTCAGTGTTATCTCTAGGTAATGAAGTGTTTTCCTTATGTTTTTTTTTCATGGTAAAATGGCATTGTTCGCAGATGTTCGCGCTTGACAATGCGTCTGCAATAAAATTTACACTTGAGTTGCGATCGCAATGTATTGATAAGCCCACTCTTACGGGAAGGTTAACACGAATCCTGTTAACTAAGAGAAATCATTTGTTTATTCCTCGAGATGATTCGGTTGATAGTGACGCAAACAATTTTTAACAGAATTAAAATGATGCACAACAAAGAACAAAAGGTGGTAAAATTCATGCCTGAAATTCTGTGCAAAGCTGATTCAAATCTTTCATGCCTCTTAACAAAGGCCTCTCAACAAAAGGAAGTGCTTTCATTTTGTGTTTGCGAAATTCAACAAAAGCGATTTCAATGAACGACTTGATCAAGAAGCATTGAGCACAAAGGAATGGTGTAAATAGTCCTTAATTCAGGCAAAGATCTTTCAATTAAATAAAGCCAAACGGAATGCACGATGGAATTTTCGATGCCGTCGGCTAGCTTCATGCATATTTGATTGGAATTATCGGTTTTTCGCTCGCTAAACATCTTCACTCCATACAAACAACTTGAAATAAGTTTCACATTAAAAATTCAAACCAAGACATGTTAAGTTGAAATCAATTCCACCAATTCCAATGGCATGTCTATTCCGAAAATAAATTCCTACTGCTTCATCATGAGCTAATTGCTTCAAATTATTTATGATTCGATTTTAAATGCGTGAATTTGTCATCGACAAAGCGAATTAGTCGCAGTTCTTTGGAATGTATTTCATATAGTTGTCTAAATAATTTCATTAAATTGATGAAACTACATCGACTTTTCCCCTTTTATCGCCACAAAAAAAAATTGAACGATTCCTTCTTATCTTTGGGGAAAAAAATTATCAAATGAAAGGATAAATGGTGAAATTGAATTCGGAATACGTTTGAAATGAAAATTGCCGAAAAAGAATGAAGCGTTTTAAACTTCACTTTAAATATGCATAAGTCTTAAATGGCTTTGGTATACGTCAAAATAATTTGAAACGATTGAAAGTATATCTCGAAATTATCAAATGATTGATAGAATCAGGTGAAGTATTTACAGTTGGTTGTAAGCGGTGTACATCAAACACACAATGCCCATTTTAGAAACGACAAAATTTTCTGTAATACCATAATGATGGCGTTTATCGTGAATTTTCGTGAAAAATTCGCTCCATACTTGGAGTCGTTGATTGCCTTTCAATCACATTGCTATCGATTTGGAAAGCGTATTTAGTTTTAAATGCTTTTGACGATGTCGATTTAAATCATCCAGTTTTATCTCTGTCTTGCGGTTTTTCGCATTTATGTCTAATTTGAATTATGTTCAAATCATTTAACGGTATGACATTTGTCAAACAATAATCGTAATTTACATATCAAATTATCGGAATTTCATGTACAGGCACACAAATGTTCAGCGGAGACTTTCATATCGAGCACACATAAGTAATTGATTTAGATTTTGTTATTTTAATTTTCAACGGCACATTTTAATATTTCCTTGATGTTGGCAAAAACCGTTTCTGGTTTTGCATTACCCTAAATGGCAATGAAATTATCTGTGTACAACGCTTAAGTTGTGCGTTATGAACGCTGAAGTTGTTGTCTGTGTTACCGTTATGGCGACAAACACCGAGCCATAATATATGTGTTGAAGTCAATTAAATTTGGAGGAAAACTTCCAAAAGACTTTCATTATGTGTGTGTGTGTGTTTGTTTCATTTTTGCACCAAAATCCATTTATTATTTAAGAAAAAATATGCGAGTGCCACACGAAGAATCCTTGTCGAAACGTGAGGCATTAAATCTTTCGGCCTGAGAAGTGAACAGTCAATCAGATTTCGGGTGTGATTTGGATTACATTTGAATTTCAGATTTTTGTGTATATGTGAATTTTACCGTCATCCTAAGCAAATCCACTGAGAACCTTCTTCCTAAGTACACTGACGCCCGATTAATTATTCAACGTAATAAAGCGCTTTGAACATGTCGCCCAGGTTTTTTTCCCTCTCATTTAATTTCCATTCCACATGAGCATCATTTTTATACCATGTGTGTGTGTCGTAAATGAGTGAGTGGTGAAAGCGGATTTCAATTAGAGCATTTTCCGCAAAATTCACCAGAGTTTTTCCCATTTATTATGAAAATAACCGACAATGTGCATAATATGTCACCACCTGCGGAAGGTTTTATCCGGGATTGGCGTTCCGAAAAATGAATTAAAATCCAAACGTTGCACTGTTTGTTGGTTTGAGTTGATTGACCAGCGGGTCAAGCAATGGACAACAGATTAAATCACTGGCGTTGGCGGCGGCAGACACACATGGAGCACAAAAGTCCACACCGCTCGCAATGAATAAATTGAAATAATAAGGGATTTTTCGACATTACCTTGATCGTTATGTAATCATTTTCCCGATAATTACTCCCATATAAATAAGCATATTAACCCCTGGTTCATATCATTTGCCAGCGTTGCTGTGCACTTTTTACGCGTGAATTTAACTACGTTTTTGTGACCGTTGTGCCACTGTATGGCGTTTTTTACGCGATGCACATATACGGTCAATCGGATTCATTCATTTCGATACCGTGGACATTGTTGTTGTTTTGATTGTCAACTCAACAACCCTGTTAATCGATTACATTTAAATAAATCATTTCGAAGCGGGCAAAATAAAAATGACGGCTCTGATCCGAATAATGCCAATAAACAGCGCGTCCACTCATTTAGCTGTCGCTTCGGATTATCAACAGAAGAATTTCAACTTTTTTACCATTTAGTCGAATTAGTCGTTTTTGCGAATATCAATTATGGTTTTTGCCGGACAATTTGATTTTTGAATTCATCATATTGATTATTGGTTAATGAAGCCTCATTCAAACGAACTGATTGAATGAATTGAGCTATTTTCGTTCTAAGCACATGGATTGAATTTTTCTCTTTGAACTTTTCCTTGCGGAATTCGCTTCATATTTTTTTTTGGACACTTGACAACATGATTTAGTGCATTCTACATCTTCCTTTGTTGTCAACATTTTTTCATAGTAAAAAAAAGTTTGGAGTATTCTACGCATTGTAAAAATTGGCGAAAAAATGCGATTGAAAATCTTTTTCATGGACACTGAATGGAGGTGTTTAGTATGATCGCTTTTACTGAATCATTATTAGTAACAATTCGATACCATCGAAATAAAAATTGCGATGAACCCATTTTGGTGCGAAGGTACTTTGATCAATCTTACTTATAATCGTTATCATTTTGTTATGTGTTTTTATCATCAAAAAAGTGATTCAAATTTTAAAAATGAACTTTTTTGATAATCTCAGTAAGAAAATCATACCTTATTTCCGTCGGTGAAAATGATTGGGCTGTTTGTGTGCGCGTCGGGATCGATTTCCCGTCGCTATATTCAAAATAAGCTAAAATCAACACTTTTCACACTGATTGAATGAGTATTAGTTTGTGTTGTTGTTAGTTACTTTTAATTAGAACTAATTTCAATTACACTTTTATCTTTTTAGAACAATTTTTGTTGAAAAAAAAACTTATCCAAGTGTGGAATAGTCTTTTTTTTATCAGCATTGGTTAATGTAGTTCCTGGAGTTTATCAAAACTGATTTGAATTTTCAAAAATTATCCTGCGGCTGTTCTGTTTTATATTTTTATCATTCGTATTACTCCATTTATTTATCTTTACGTATTACTTATCAACTTTCAAAACTGTTTATATTCAACTTTTGGTCTTTTAAAGCAACTTGCTTGATGAAATTTCTCGAAATCCTAAAATTTCTCTCGCACGTAGAAAATTAAAACATGAACCACTATCGATGGATAAAATTGAAAATATTTGCACTCCCGTTGAGTTCAAAAACCAAATTGCACTTTATCGAAAAATGCCCGTCCAAAAATCCAATCGCCAAAAACTATTCGAAGCGAGTGTGACAAAAGCACGAAACAGTAAAATACACCGAATGAGCGCATAAAATGCGAAAAGATCCGTGCACACGAAACGACAGCAATAACAATAATGAACAATCGCGTCAATCGAGCGCTTAGACGTGCAAAGCCAAAACGATGCCGAAGAATCAAATCAATTTAGATGATGTTGAGAGGAGCGCACGATTGTGTGTTTGTATGGGTTTGTTTGTGTGCGCTTCGGTATATCAGAAAAACTGTGTACGAATGTATGTGATAAACACACACAGCGTGCGAGCGCGAGACGGAAAGAATGAGGGCGAACGAGCGAGCGAGAGTACAGCACTTGTGCCTGTTAACATTCGATTATTCGCTTTTTTCTCACTCAATGCCCGTTTTTATTTGATAGAACGGCAGCGTTTTGTCTTTTTTTTCCCGTTTTATAGGTTTTGTTCATCGACGGCTGGTGCATGACAGTATGTGCAATTTTTATTTGACTTGAATATGGGTGGTGCGAATGGGAAAAAATGCTATCGGCAGTGTGTTTGTGCCGTAGCTGCTGCTGCTGCTGCTGTTGCGGACGATGATGATGACGATGGTGGTGGTGATGGTGGGTACGATGAAACAATGTTGAGATTTTTCTATCCTTCGGCTGGAAGAATCAACCATTGTTATAGTTTTATTCGGATATAAAATCAGTGCCGATTGTCGAGGGGTTTAACACACTCGCACCATATCGACCCGGCATTCTCTCGTTCTGTCTCTATCTCGCTTGACGCGCGCAACGCATCACATCCACCACTTAGGGGCCATAGTCGAGTCTGTGCACAATGTAAAGGGCCAAAACATCTCAATTGGCTCCGCCTCTTTCGGTGCTCTCCCATCCATCCAACGTGTCGGACGATTGCGACGTGTGTGCAGTTCAGGTTCTCTCACATTCTTCAGTATTCCGTTGCTTCCAAGCTTTTTTCTGTCTCATCACATCGGATGTATACACACACACACACACACACACACACACACACACACACACACACAGCATTTGGCCATGCGAAAGGAAAATTAAGTGAATTGAAAACGATATAATAATATTGCTTGCTCGGCTTCTCTGCACTGTGTTGTCTGAGTGAGTGTGTACATCCGTGAATAACATTTGAAAATGAGATACCAAATGAAATAAATGTCTATACAATTTTCAGAGGCAAATGAAAAATCTAACTAAGTTATAGCACAAGCACGAGCACAGGATCGCGCGCGCATTTTCCTTTATGTACAACGTATTCGCACATTTTATACATACATGGAGTAAATGGTGGCATGGCACATGGAAAGCGCTCCATAAAAAACATCCTTATGTACAAGAAGACAAGATATGGATGCTGATGCCCCGAGTAAATGGAATAGACACAAGGGAGGAGAACGGTAGCGCGCACAAATTTATTGTTAAAGCAACAAACGTCGCCTTCATCGTCGTCTTCGGTCGCACGAACACAATTTAGCCACAAGCATACGATCGACACAAACAACTTAATTTATTGCTTGTGCCGGATTAATCCTGTAGCTTCAACAATAATGCTAATAATTTGTGTGCATGTGATTTGTTATGGAGTGTTGTTTTTGTTGGTGCGTGCGCGCGAGCCATCGAGCGGGATGGATGGATGGATGGAGGGTGGGGAGAGTGTGAGATACGATTTGCGTTTGTGTTGATTCGTTTGTTCGCTCCACTTGTGTATGTCGTTGATGGATCCGCTTCGTAATGTTGTTTTCGATATGCGTGTCTCAGCTTCCAAAATGGTATTTTAATACTTACTTTAATAAATTATCATTATGAAATTACATTGAATTTTGCACAAGACACAGGCGCATAACGCACCCCAGCCGCATCGTAATGGTGGACGAGACAAAGTGGATGAAAGCTGCTACGGGAGCAATATTAATATGATTTCTGTGAGTTTGTGGTGATAATAGGTTTTTTTGTTGTTTGGATGGAAACAGAAACTCGTTTCGACCGAATTTGGGCAAATGAGAATCGAATCGTATTCGGGCAAATGAGCAGAAAATTCATGTATGAATGGCAATAGCATCAACGGTAATCACTCTCTATGGCTAACAATGACGAATTAATGAAAATTTCATTCTATTTCAATTGGAATGGTGTTGGAGTGCGAAGCAACGAGACTCGCAACGTTTGCATGTGGATGCGATTGTGTGAAGAACTTTGATTGCTTAAGCCTAATTAACTTTGCTATCCAATTTTATTGTGTGCATACTGAAGCATGTCGACGTGTGAACAGGAACACAAACACAGTGTTACAGCGTTCGTTTCGGCTCTTTGATGCAAGAGAACGAACACAGGACTTGTACACATACACACACATATACCGAAACCCACTCATAACAAATTGAAAGTGAAACGTTCTTCTAATTATTTATGCATAGAAAGTGAAATTTCGTTTAGTTATTTCACATCATTTTTGCGATGGATTACATGTGTATGCGCGCCTGTGTTTTGATATTCATGAAATTGGCTTAATTGAATCCGATCAGTTTCTTTTTTTTTTAAAAAGGGTTTTCGACCATCGAATAAGAGGTTGAATGGGTCGGATTTAATCGAAATAATTGGGCTTTCGCATTGAATTTACATCCAAAACCTTTTTTTCCAAATAAATCGTTTCACATCTTATGCCGACGACTGTATAACAATATTTTCGCCATTTTTTCCCCGTTCTCGATTTCAGTGCATTAAATTGAATGGGATTTATACATGCAAAAAGAATCGATTTATTATAATGCTACTTCTTTATGTATGTATCATTTGAATAGAAGGATCATTTGATATATACACCACGCTCTGTCAGCCGATCTTGCTCTCCATTTCGAATTGAATTGCAACCTCTTAAAATCATAATTCAAGCTTCGCACACAGACACATTTGCTCGGTCGTCCAAGGATAATGTAAACAATTTCGAAGAATTATTTCAATTTGAAGCTAATTTATTATTTAATACACACAAATTGAACGAAACACCAAACAAACTGAAGAGCCAAGCCAAGGAACAACAACAACAACAACGAAAAAATAATAAGAATAAAAGCGATGCCGAGCGACTGAAAAATGAGAACGAGCGCAAAGAAAAAGTGTGATGAAAAAACCGTGTCTCTCTTTTGTATTGAATCGTTCGTCTGACGTAAGTGAGTGGTAAAAATGTTATCAAAGAAAAGGTTTATTTATTTATCGTCATTCATAACACACACACACAGAGGGAAGAGGGGGAGGGAAGTTGGGAGCGACGCTTTTTGTATCGTTATATGATGATGCACGCCACGAGGATAAATAGCAAGCATGAAATCGTTGCGAAAAATCAAATTGATTAAGTGAAAATCAAGAGAATGAAGTAAAAAGAGAATGTTGTAACTTTCAATTCAGTGCACACGTATATACACACATACACACACTGAAGCCGTATTATACTTTTCTAATTCTATTCAATCTGCTTTTGAGCTGGAATATTGCGTTACGAGGGGAAAAGAGATGAAAGTAGCAGCAACAGCAGCAGCCCGGGCTACGGAAAACAACGAAGATGGAAAAAGTTTTTCAGCATAGGCGCCAAAACGTAAGAACCAAACGAATGAACGAACGGTGATTCGGAGCGGGAGGTAGAAACCAAAGAGCAGCAACTGAAAAAGGGAGTGAGAGGGAGAGAAAAAAAAAATGAAGAAAAATTCGAAGAAAAGCAAACTTAAATCGTTTGCCCGAAGACATTTATCTCGTGCCACAACTTTATTGCGTTCAATTTGATATTTGCTCGTGTGTTCATTGGGCGTGTGTATGTGTACGGAATGATGTTTTTATTCCATTTGCTCAAATTACTTTTGTATGGAATATGGCGCATAAGATCCATTTATGCACACATTCATTCAATTTCTTTTCTTATTGTTTGTTCGCGCTCATTCCTTCTACCATCCACCATACGCCATCTCTTTCTATCACTCTCTCTCTCTTGCATTCTCGTATGAGCGCTTGCTCGCTCGCTTTTTTCCGGTCGGTTATTTTGCTTCGTGCAACTTTGTTTGCACTATCACATTTAATTCGTTGCTTTTCTTTCTCCTTTTTTTCATTTCGTTTTCCAGGCCAATACAGATTAGCTTTTGCTACTTACCATTTTCTCTTGTCGTTTTGCTCTTCGCCGATTTTTTTTTCGCCCGTTCGCCCTACGATACCGAGAGACACATTCCATGTTTATTTTTCTTGCTTGCCCTTCTGTTGCTTTCGCTTCCAATCCAACCGCAAAATGTTCGCTCATTTCTCATTCTTGGCGTATCACTTAAGAGCTGAAAATAAAAACGCGAAGCGAAAGTAATAAAAATCCACGTTTACACAAGCGCTGAGAAGCGATTTTTCTGCGTTAGAAACAAGGAAAGATGTGCTATGCTCCAAAAGATGATGTGAACGTCTCTTCGTCTCTGGTTTTTTTTTTCTTTCTGGTTCGTGCTAAGGTTTTTTCTGCTTCGAAAACATTCAAGCACTTTTCGTAGAAATTACGATGATACGGCTCATCTTACCACACAGCACGTGCTTTCCCTAATCAACGGGATAACAATTTATTTGGAAATCATTGCTCTCGTATGTTTACATCGACCAAAAAAAAAACATCTCTTTTGCTTTTGACGAATTTAGACGATATTCAATAATAAAAAGTAAACATTCTTTTATCCTTGAGGCGCTTTTATTCCTCGATAAACAAACATTTTCTTCATCATCGTCTTCATCTGCTTGATTTGGATTCGATTAGCAAGAATAGCAATAATTCAATTAGAATCCATTTCAATCAAAACCAAAGCAAAATATCCTTCTTCAATCAATAAAACAAAATACCGAAACGAATACTTCGGAAGAATTGATTGAGATTCTTTCAAAGTTCGTATCATTACAATTCATTCGTACACAAATCCAAAAATTTTGTGTCAAATCCCTTATCACATTCAAATTGTGTACACTTTTTTGCCAACAAACTTGAATTTGGTGATTCATTCGATGGTGAAGTCGAAACGGTTTATATAACCATTGATTTCTCCTTTGAAATCGACGGAAAAGAATGTGCTTCGCAGGAAATGTGTGAGCATACAGAAAAACGATGCTATAGAGAAAACTGAGGGGCGGAGCCTTAATTTTAGCATGAACACAAACCAACGGTTTCAGCATTAACTTCGATTTGAAAATGAATCATCTATTGAATCGGCAGTTTTTTCTTCAGTATTCAGGAAGTTTTTTGTGTTTTAATTTTGATTCCGTACATTTATCTATTACTGTGCAAATTAACGGGATCAAAATTCATGCAAATCTCCTTAACCTAAGGAAAATATGCAACACACATCAAACCAATCATATTTATAGTTAAAAATCATTGAAATGTTTCATCTTTGCGAATTGTACTAGTGTTTAGCTGTTGTACTAAATTAATCAATACCTTGAATACCATGGATAATAACAAACAGAGGACATTTTGAAACACGTAAATTGGCCACAGATAGAAAAAAGAATCGAAATATGTTTCGCTATTTAAGAAACGATTACAGAATGAAGTTCACTGAGTTAAGTTCACTCACCAGTGAACTCCTCCACTCATCTTATACACTTTCGTGTGACCGTCTCCACCAGAACATATGACGATTTGTTATCAAAGGATGTACACGATGAAAAAGATAGATAACAATTGCACATAATTCATAAATGAAAAATTGAACAGATGAAATAATGAAAATCAATTGGGTCACCCAAACAGAATGAACATTGGACGCACATTCATCCTCGCGAAATCCGAATTGTATTTTGTTTTATTATAAATAAACGAATACAGTGACTTTTTGTAAACCATGCTGAAATAAATTGAGATAAAACGCAAACAACGTTTTATTCATCATCATAATGTGTTCGTCTCCATTTTTTGATGTCTCGTTTTAATGGAGTGACATTGTGGAGGAAGATGAAAAGTGGAGGTGGTACCATCGATTTTCCTTTTTCGTTGTGATGATCAACCTTGATGTAAAACATGCAGTACACACGCACAAACTAAGAATGTAGGCAGAAAAATACGCCAGATATGAAGCGTTTATATAGGAATGTGTCATGAAATCGCGTTGTTTTAAACAGTTGATGCGATTATAAAAGGGCGATTCAGTTGTTGAAATGAATCATTTCATTTTTGTTTGTTCAACAGTTTACATAAAATATTTGTTTATCAACATGAAACAGTTCATTTCTATGTTTTTGTCAGTTTTCATACAATATATCCCATCATTTGCGACAAAAATCCGACGATTTTTTTTGTTAACCACATCGCGCCTTTGCTTATTGTAGCATAGTTTTGGGTAAGACACTACTTTAGAAAATTATTTTGAACTATTATTGTTTAATATATTATCAAGAAAATATTATCAATGTGTGGGTGGTTAAAATATTGGTTCACATTTTTTTCTTCTAGGGATGTTTGAAGGTAATCGTTTGCGCGGGAAAAATGTTCTACTAAATTTTATGTAAGTATATTGATAAGATCAAGATTACACACTGGAATAACATCAAGAGTTTAAAAATGTGAATATCATAAAGTTGACTCATTCCTGAAATGTGACATTTTTCAGATTATCAAAAATGTCGAAAACAAGATTACTAAAAATTTTACTTTTATATGAATTATTAGAAATACTGAAAATATTATTCATACAGTATTTTAAGAGCTCGAACCTATGATATATTTCATTTAGCTAGAAAAAAATATTTTCACCGAATTTGTTTGAGCGAACGTTTTTATTTAGAACAACAACAACAGTCAATATTTGGTGAACTAAGGCCTTAATCTAAAATTTGAAAATACATTTTTTTTTTTTTGTTTCTTAGCATTTGAAGATAATATTCCCAAAATTAGAGAGAAATTTTTTCGTCTGGGCGGATTCGAGTGAGGGATATTGAACTAAGTATGGACGATTTAGTCAAGAAAAAATTTCTGTATCAATATAATGAGGTTTGAATGCATACAGAATTTAAAGAAAAAAATAGAAAAATGACGTATACTGAATTTTACACGTTAGTTTTGACGTAAAATACATTTTAGCGAGGATTTATCCTCGTTTTCACCAAGAAGCATTTGGCCACCTTATTCATAGAGATCATGCAAGGACGATTGTTCTAAACTTTAGTAGGTAAATGGTGCTGGCATAGTATCGTACATAGTCGCAATTTATGCACTAATGAAACTATGTTTTCTGAGCACAGAGCAGTAGCAACGACCATAAAATATATGTATTTCATCAAGTTTATCAAGTTCTTTCCAAGTTTATGTTCGACACTTTTGTTTAATCTCTACTATCTAAATGTACAGTATTAATTAATTACGGGCACGGCGTTAGATGGCGTTTTTTCTGGTCAAAATTATTGACATTTCCCTTTTGACATTGGCCAGCAACAATCAATATTCATCCACATCTCAACAATGTGAATAAATTCTTATTCTTTTTCTCTTTGAAACTAAATGGATTAAAACGAAAAAAAAATTAGGGTTTTGGATATTGCATTTGTCTGGACTCCCTCTTCGCTACAAAATCACTGATTAAGGACTTTATGAAGAGTGTCTGTCCAAGGACAGTGTTTCTGTCATTTGAATCAATCGTGCTGCAGGGTTTTTTAATGGCATCAAGTCCAGTGAAAATTGTAAAGTTCGATATCATGTAGCATTATGTAGTTACATTCACATGTTGTGTCTTCGCTATGTATGTTGAATCTACACAAATCTTCATTGCATTTAACTGATGATGTTTCAATTATAATAGTATCGCATGATAGTATCGCATTATCAAGCTTCATTCTAATAATGTCAAAGTCCAAATAAATACCTATAACAATCCTAATGTATTTTTGCGACTTTTCTTCTACATTTTGTGCTTACTTTATTTTAAAAAAAACGAGCTTATAAATAACAATGCAATAAAATCATGGGAATACCCAACATTGGAGTTAATTTCAGAAATATTTGAACCATTGCATAACAACACATATTGCTCATTTGCATAACGTTTATTTTTATCTCGGCGCGCGTGTTCGTTGCGTCTAGAAAAATGCCAATCACATTATTGATAAAATGAGTAAATTCAAATGAATAAATTATGATTACATTCATTTATATATAATATGCATTATATTAAACCGATGATGTCAAAGAAATCAATTCAGAATATATAGATATATAGCCATATATGGCTAATTATAGTTGAACGTTATTTAATTTGAAAAAAGAAAGAAATTGGGTTAATGTTTGGATAATATTTTATTGGGATGGCTGCAGATTTTGAATATTCAATACATTCATATTACACAAATTATTATTAAAGAATTTTTGTAGTCAATTCTACAAAAAAAATTCTGGTAATGTGAATCTTTCAAAACCTATTCATCCTTAAGCTTTTGATTCTACAGAAGCTGTTTAAAGCTTCGTGCCTGCACAAACGAGTAAACTATGTGCGCGTATTACGAAAATGATGGAAAATTCATCATCAGTTGGATTGGAAATTATAGGCATGAAATGATATCAAACCATCTCTATCAAAAGGCCAATTGAAGAGAAAAAAACAGATTTTTTCAGGAGGATAAAAGAATATTTTTTTTTTTATTGAATATCGTACAAATAAAAAAAAACATTTGAATCAGTTTTGTTGCCGTGTTCATCTTTTGATGGGGATATTCAACTATTATATGAAATGGTCGAAATATGTTGAATACAATTGGTAGTCCAATTTTAAAACATAAAAAAAAACATCAGCAGAATCAAAGACTCGACCAGATATTTCAGTGGGATTTGCATGTTTTCTCATAATTATCCTTGAAAGCTTTTATTTGGTTATTCGCCTCTTGAATATGATCGGCACTAACTCCCCGCTCCAACAACCAGCGTTGTAGACCATTTGTAAGTTCGTTTCCGTCAATCTGGTTAGAAAGGAGAAAAATACAACATTTCATTAGTTTAGTTCTCTGTGTATGATTTTTAATGCTGGTACTGATTTCTGCAAACTTACAATTTTCAGCTCCTCAAACATGCAATGAAACGAACACACCTTACTTCCAATTTCTTGCAACCATTTCAATGGACTTGGGATGAGTATCCAGGCAAAATGGTTGCTTCCCATATTAAACTTTGAATCACATGTTTGAGCGGCTGTTTCGACCAATTTCATGAATGGCTAATGATGAAAGAGATCTTGTTGTTTTAATACGAAAATATTTCAATTTCATTTGTATTCTTACGCTTGAAGAGGAGTCAGGCCTTACGAAGTCCGTACGACCGGTCTTGATTGCCTTCAAAATTTCAGTTCCAATTAGTTCGTAAATGCGTTCGTTGCGCTCGTTTGAATTAGGTTTGCTGCACTCATTATGCAGTATGCCATTGTCGTACTTGGTATCATACTGGAGAAAATAAACAAAAGGTTAGGAAATTCTGGTTAATAATAATAGCATTTCGTCTACTTACCAATTTCAATTTGGAAAACGTGCAATCCAATGCACATACAATTTCGCCACCATCAGTAGAACTGTCTACAGATTGGAAACAGGGTTGCAACGCATCTCCGATTAATCCCAAATATGTCTAAAAGAGAAAAGAGTTATTCATTTCAATTAACTAGATGTTGGTCATATTTTCTCTAATTATTCAAGATTTTTTTCAAATAAAATTATTCGAAACTATATTCGAAAAGTCCCTTACACTTTCGGCAAGTGCACTAGAATAAGTGAAACTTGCAATGAATAAAAAGCAATAAATGGTTCGAATGTTCGCCAACATCTTGGGATAAATTTCATACGAACGGTTGCAAAAACAACAAATGTATGCTGATACATTCGACAAGTAAATTGCCTTTTTATACCCCTTCAATTACTCACTACTTTAGGCCACTATGACGCATTTGACAACCAGAATTAGCTTGCGATTGTAAATACTTCACATTAATGCGAAACAATTTTATTTGTGCGCATTTTTTCTCCTTCGTATTTTATTTATGTTATAAGAATTTCCCAGAACTTATCAAATACCAACATTTTTTTCTGACGTTTCATCATTTCAATAAATATGAAAAACCCATGAATATTAATAGTAATTGCAATCAAATGAAAAAAAAATCACTTCAAAAGTCAATTCTCGTGCCGAAAGCGAACACAAAACCAGTGATATGCATTTTACGCCGCATACTAAATCAAGCGATAAAATCTTATCAAACAAGTTTCATTTAGCATTAATGCATTTAGTCATGAGATTTTTTCTTTATTAAAACGATGAAATATTAAACAAGAATATTGGTGTTTGACTCGTTTTAGTTCTGGAAAAACTCATTGTAAAAATAGAATGTTCAAATTTAAAGCTAATTCGTTCGAAGGGACAATAATGATGAATTTTCTTCAAATATTACACATGGTCAACCTTTTGAAAGGTATATGAGCAAAATCCTTTTGAAATATTCCGTATGTTTGCGGTACATATGGTTCAAATATTCGTAAAATGTCGGAATATTGAGCCTTTCTGTAAAACACACTGTCATATTTCAACACTTAGCAACCCCTCTCTTTTTTCTTATGAAACGCGTCATGGAGTCTAATGTGGTGAATAACTGATGCACTATAAAATGGCATTCCACCCAGTGAAATCGCCAGTTTCATTTTTCTACTTCATCTTATAGTTCAAAAAGTAGAAATCTCACCATGTTTACGAGAGTTTCAAACATCCTTTGTGTACTATTGATCACGAATTTGATTTTTTCCATTAAAGCCGAAAGTGTAAGTGATTTCTAGCTGTACGATACTTTCAATAAATATAAATTATGATTATAGTTAGGAAATTTTATTTATGGTCATGTCATATCATTGAAAATGCTATTTTGTTGCCAAAAATGTCACAAACAATGATAGAAGTAATAATTAAATAAATGTTGCATAATTTTTATGAAAGTAATGTTCCTTTGTGTCTTTTAAAATACGAAGAATTTCATTTTTTTTATAGGAATATTTAAAATTACTCGATGACGCGGAAAAAAAATGTCAACCCGAATTTAGTTCTTTGATCAATACTGCTGCAGCAGCTCCAAACAGAGGCACAGATAATGATCAACAGCTCTTTGTCGACTTTGTATGTTCATTCGACTGTGCGTCGCATCAATTGGGTTTGGTAAGTTGATGAAGAAGTTTCATTTGATTTGCCAACTAAATGTTTCTTCTACCCAAGTATGATAGCAACACAGGCAAGATGAGTGAGTGCTCTGAATCCAATGATTACAATCGTCGCCAAAAGGTTTTTCAGCGATTTTTAAACGAGATGAATAATGTGGTAATGAATCTGGGACACTCCCGTTCTAGCAGTTCATCCCCAAGCTCAAGTGTAAGAATACATAAGAAATGGATTTATTTTCACCAAAATGACGAAATTTCTTTCACCATCAGAAAATAGTACAATTAGTCGAAGGAGCAGAAAAAACATGTGCATCAAAGTATGGTTTTACTGGAGCCAAATCGTTAGCTTCGTGGTTCAATCCAATTGAACTATTGGATGAATTAATGAAAGAATTTCATTCATTTCGCTGCGTGGCTGAGAAGCTCGAAATTGTAAGTATCAATTAATAATAATCATACTCACACGAGCTAAATGAATAAATTATTGTCCTTTTCTTCAGATCGACAATAAAAATGAAATTAATAGTGTTGTACAAGCCTGGATGGTGGATTCTGAACTGGTGGACAATGACAAGGTCAAACAAATCAATGGCAAAGTAAAAAGTTACCTGAATGATATACCCAAAAAGGACACTAAACCTGGCAGTGACTCCAAAGATAAAGGTTCTAAAGGTAGCAGCAACTCCAAAGAAGGCAACGATTCCAAAGAAGGCAACGATTCCAAAATTGTCAACGGCTCCAAAGACGGCAAAGACACTAAACCCGGTAATAGCTCTAAAATTGACACAACCACAGAAAAACCGTCAACCGAAAAAGCCAATAGCGGAGTTTCACAACTTAATCTCCCATTTGAATCGATTATAATGCAGATCTTTTTGATTGCATTAGCTCTAGCATATTCAGCGTAAGAGAAAATTGTATGAAGTAAGTGCCGAGAAATCTGAATAATCAACATAACCTTTTGGATAAAATGGGCTATTGCATTGCCGAGTTTTATTTATTTGTCGGGCTTCTCAACACCATTGTAAAGACTCTCAAAACAAAATAAACATATATTCACTTACTAACTGAATAAAAACCAAATAATCTCATTACCTAATTTTGTGCACTAATTTTTGGTTCCCATAATAGTTTTGTGTATGTTTTTTTGTTATTAACGCAACTGTAGTCTTTACATTCTCCAATAGAATCTTATTAAATCGTCTCCATTCAATTTTAACCTAATTGGATGGACATGGACACTCAAATCTAAGTAGATTCGAGAAACAACAAGTGATAGAGATTTGTATGAATATTGGAGGATATAAAAACAAAGAAAAATGCGATTGACACTTAAGTGATGTGACTACAACTATTTCTCAGTTCAGACCAGATTTTCTAAAACAGATTATGTACTCAATAGAATTGTTCCTACATAAAAAATGGGAAAACAGTACATGGATCTACAGAAAATCTACAATTAAAGACGGTCTTTCCAAAGTCTTCTTTCACTTCGTCACATCTACCAAGATTTGAACATCTATCCATTCAATTCCGTAAAGTAATAATTGAAATATGTTTCTGAATGATGCTACATCATTGACGTATTGTACAGCCCAATATTTTCTACAAATAGATGTCACGTCAAGACATATAACAGCCATCGACAGCAGGAGCTGGTAACGAAAGCAGCCTATACACAATATCAAATGTGTTTTCTCACAAACCTTGCCTATTTTCTCCTGTGCACCAGTATGATCATAATGCTAAAATTGATAACAATTTTGGCAAAATAGATTCAATTTGGTTATTCAAAGAAATAAAATGAGTTTTTTTTTCACATTTCTTATATTTTTGCAGTGCTGATGAATAAGCAACAAGTGACACATAGCAATTAAACTTGAAAGAGTAATGCGTACAGCGAAAATATTCTTAATTTATCGACATCCTTTGATTGTTGATAACTCAGTCTTCCACAAGTTCGTAATGACCAATTTGAGTCTCAATTCTTGGAAAAAAAATCGTCAAAAACGATAAGAAAAGAGATTGCACATATTTTTTGGAGTATTTTGTTGTTCTCTCACAAAGGATTGTGATAAGTTTTATCGCTAATTTCGGTAGGACCGTTTTAATTCGAGCACATTCGTAATAACTCTATATAATAAATTAATTCAAATCTGTTAAAATATTTTAAGCTTTTATTTAATCAATTACGTCATGAATTCTAATGATTTGAGTAATGTTCGGGGTATAAAAGGACGACTCACTTGTTCAATGAACCAGATCATTTTAACTTCTTAACCAATTGTTAATTGTTTTGGCAATCGGAATTGTCATCTTCTCATAAAATAGCAATTTCAAAATGTTTGCGAAAATTCCGACACTGTTTTGCCTTCTATCCATCACGAGTTTGACTCGTTCTAGTGAAGCTTCCGAAAGTGTAAGTGAATTTTTTTTAAATAATATTTCAAACTGTTGTAGCTCCCACCAAATCAATTAAATTTGGAAGACAATTTATTATCAATTTTTTTTCATCAAGAAATTTCATTTTTTTTCTTCCAGGAATTCTTGAAAACAATCGATAGCGTGGGACAAGAATGTTTCAAAAAATTAGATTCGAGTAAGAATGAAACCCGTATTTTCAATCACACCGAAAAACTTGATGTTCCCGAAATTGTGTGTTTATTAGATTGCACGGTGTCTGAATTGGGTTTGTTGAGTTATTCATGTTTAAATCATGTTTAGCTTCAATTTGCCTGATTATATTTTTCTTTTCTCAACCATTATAAGAACGATGCCATAGTGACTGAGTGTTCTGAAACTGATTATAGTGTTCGCAGGAAAAATTAGTTGAAATGGATTGAGAAGGAGAGGAGTGCCGTCATGAGAAATGGTTCTTTCTTTGCACACTTTAAGGCTAACAGTTCAAACTCGAGCGTAAGAAAGGCTTGGAACCTATAAATTGATATACAAACCATATTTTCGTAAACGTTTAGTTTTAAATTGACCAAATTCATTTCACCATTAGAGATACATCCAATTGGTCGAAGAAGCTGAACAAAAATGCCAGTCAAAGTTTGATATGACTGTAACCGTATCATCGCTGTTCAACCCACTTAAATGGATGGAAGAAATCGAGAAAATTTCTTGTTCATTTCACTGCATGCTCGCAGAGCTGAAAATTGTTAGTAAATCACTATTAGCTGCCAATCAATTCATTAACACAGGAATAATATAAATGGACTTCTTTTTATCTTTTAAACCAGATTAACGAAAAGGGGCTTGATGATACTCTGAATAACTGGATAATGTATTTGTTGGACGTTGGACCGTCAGTCATAGAAAAAATGAACGAAGAAATCATAAAGATTGCCATGGGAAAATTGAACGATGAATGCAAATTCATGAAAAAGTCCATTGGCAGCGAAGGACCATCAACGAAAGAATCCACCAACGGATGTTCCCGGATCAATGGTCCATTTGAATCTACATTGTTGCAAATCGTTTTTATTTCAACAAGTTTAGTATATTCAATTCTACTCGCCTGAACGCATGAGCAGAAGGTTTTTGCTATATCGAAGAAAACTTAAATTCAAAACTTCATCATCGTGAATCTTAAAATGCATTTTTATTTTATACCGACGATTTTCAATACCTATTCCATTTATTCAGCAAAAAAATGTTGATTAGGAATTAAGAAATCGTAAGTCTAGGCTAATTTTCAGCAGAAATGTATGAAATCAAAAATGAAAAATTAAATAAAATGAACAAATGATTTTTTTTACTTATATTCTGTCCTAAGAAAATGTCAACTGTTCATGCCGTTGTGATGCTTACAAAGTGCAGTAAGAAGTTCCTTTTTGTTCGAGTCGAAATATGATTGAATTTCCCATACAAAGAGCCACCGTTTTTTTTCTCACCATTTTTTAACATTTACTCAAATGTTTGGCTGTCAAATGTTATGACATTACTACTATAAGAGAGTGCATACTTGCTGCTGAGATTGAGTTTAATTTTATGCTGATGAATTTGTGAGCAATTTTATTGGAATAACATCGCAGTTTTAACTTCGACATATTATTACCAACATCGAATGCATTCAATAGGCTACATTGCACACTTGCTTTCATTTTAGTTCATTCTTTTAGAGCTGAAAATGTTAAGCTCAGAAAAATGTGGTTTTTCTTTTCCCAGAATAACATCATAAGAAATCCAATCAATTCCAATTTTCCAAGCTTTCATACGAATTCAACTTGAAATTATACATGACCGTCTCCATTAAAAAGGTGAACGGCAGAAAGAATGTTTCAAAAGCTTCGTTCCGAAACTTTTTCCGCACGCAAATTCCATAATAAATGAATCTGTTTTAAAGCAAACCAGACAAAACTGCATTTCATTGAATTAGAATAAATCTGATTTTTGTGCATTGTTTTTCTGAAATAAATGCGATATTTTAATAGTGTTGCTGGGTGCGTGAAACTGACAATGTAAAATTTATTGGCTCATTTATTGAGGTCACTCATTAGAGATTCGTTTAACGCGATAAATATGATTATCACCAAAATGAGGATCGAATGGCATTATTCAATTGTTCGTAAACAGCTCGGACAGTCGTAAGTAGCCGAGTAGAAAAATAAACACACAACGAATCGCATTGCGCATTGACGGTTGCGATAGATTGAATCGACAAGGTAGGCAACTGTTGTGCATAAACAAAAACGCAACTCAAGCTAAATGTCAGAAAAATTGTTGAACAAACACAAAGAAGCAAAAAAAAAAGACGACGACGAAAGACAATAAATACATCGCAATATGGAGCTAAAGCAACTGGAATCGACGAACTACTGAACGGTGTGTGTGTGTGTGTGTGTGTGTGTGTGTGTGTGTGTGCGTGTGTGTATTGGTATGATATAATTGAGTGCTGTGTGCATGTGGTTGTACGTCTGGTTGCGTCGTCGCCATGGTTGTCGTCGTCGTCGTCATCGCTGAGCGCGCTTAACTACGTTTCAAGTATTATTTTCTGCTCAACACATACGATACGCGCACGTTTATCTCAATACTACGGCCACAACTACAGTCGCATGAAACCACTATCTGGCGTGTGCAACGCAAATACCCTCGAACCAGTGTCATTTCTACTTCATAGTTGGTTAGAGATATTCTCACATTTCGATGTTGTTTTTTTCCTTCTTCGGTCGTTCATAATCTTCTCTATTTTAAGTGTTTGCTTTGACAAAACGGTGAAAAAACACACAAACACACCACATTTAATTAAAAACGAAGACTTGAAATAGACTTGAAAAATTTGTTGTTATTCAATTCAGTTGGCAGTCTAGCGTTTTATCAATTGGAATCAAATAAATCAATGAATCGATCCAATACACGAACGGTTTGTGATAAACACTGATTTCGCTTTTCTGTTTCTTTTATCAGACAGAAATATACAGGAAGTGTCATCATTGAATTGAAGGTGATCGAAGGAGAAAAGTGTAAAGAAAAAAAAAACAGTGTTTTTGCATCAGACAAATATTAAAAGCCAATAAACATAAGTTTTTGATCGGCCGAGAGAAAAAAAAACGAGACAAAATTCTTAAAAACAAGTTGATAATATTAACATAAATAGAAAAACATCGTGTTTTGGACGGAAGTGTTGAAAATCAGGTTCCTTATAGCAAGCACATTTCGACGCATTAATATTTTTTCTTTCGCTCTGTGTTTTACCCGAGGACTTCGATGTGATCCACAAGTTTATTTTTCTGATTATTTTTATTGAATTTCGATTTGATTTGTCGTCGTCGTCGTTGTCGGACGAGAATCGCGAGTGATTGGAATCGTGTAAAAACCGAGGTTCCAGTACCGCGCCAAACTCACAAACGTTTTCAAAGTGTATGCTTGCGGCGTACGGCACATTTGCGTGTAATAACACACCAGTTTGAATTGAATTCGCGGTTAATTGCAAACCAATCAGCAACATTAGCACCAAATTCAATCGATTTATATATATCAATACATACACACGAGAAGAAGGAGTGAAATAAAGAGAAATAAAAACGTTCGAATTTGTAATACAAATAGTTTTGCTGCCATTTACTTCGTTTGACACCATTTAATTTATTTACCATTTGTTCAGCAATTTTTTTTTTGCCTGAGGACAGAATTTTCCTTCGTTTAACCAATTTCGAATTCGTGTATACTGCTTGTTTGATTAAACATTGGTGGAACTGTGTAAACAAACGACCAGCTGATTTTTGAGGTTCCTATTTTAATAGTGCTAAATACTAAAGTGCAATCGATTGTTCGTGATTCAAAGTTTGAGCGAAAAATCCGGAGACATACGAAAATCTTACCGCCGCACTGGTGCAATCATTCGACTCTCAAGTGATAAATTTGATCTTTCTGCTGTGATTATTGCATGAGTCGATTCAAAATGTAAGTAATGTTCATCCAACCAAATTCATTGCGCTGCGGTATTGTCAATTGCTATGCTATTTATCAGAATATTTTGTGCGTTGTTTGTGTTTCATGATAAACAGTAGGGAAAAGTAAAAAAAATGATAAAAAGAGGAGAAAACAGAGAAAGAAGAAGAAGATGATCAACTTGGAAGAGGAATACAAAATGACTATTTACAACAAACATCAAATGTCCCAAAATTCGCAAGAGTGCGAAAAATACGGTGTTTTTTTCTCGACGTTGCCAAACAATTGAAGATTAACACACAGATTAGGCCTGCGACATACACGATTCTCTTTCATGCGCTCGAACACACAACAATCAATCCAAAAGCCAAGCGCAATTTTTTTTAAAAAGAATGCACGGGCGATGGCATGCGCATACGGGCACAATACGATACGATAAAGAGAGTGTCATCCAAATAAGATCTTGGTATAAATATAATATTTAAATTGGCCGTACAGCGTACATTCATATCCATATAGACTTTAACAATATAATGATGCGCGCTCACTCAGACTCTCTCTCTCTCTTGCCCGATCTTTCTGTCCGTTGCGATTGTTGTTTTTTTCGGTCTAAAAATAGACACTGTTCATTTTTGTGCCATACTGCGGTTCAATAGAGCCGATACATGCAGATAAATAGTCAAAGTGTCGTCTTTTTTCGTACATCGAATACATTGACACAGCGAATAAGAGAAAGAGAGTGCAAGAGAGAGAGAGAGAGCGAGCAAACTCGAGAACAATACGACGACACAACAATTTAAATAATTGTTTGATTCCGTTTACGTGTGTCGTCGCTCGATCGTCGTTTGGAATCGCTTGTGTGTGTGTGTATGTGTCAGCGTGTATCGAATCGAGTTGATGTTTGTCCAAAAATACAAATTCATCGCTCCTTAAGGTTATACTAATATTGAATTTATATTATACAAGCCAAATGAAGTTGAAGGAAACCAACACGGCGCGAAAAGTAACAATATCCAAAAATAATACTTCTGGAAATGAGTTATTACCGCTTTTTTTCTTCTCTATTTTGATGGACTTTTGAACGAGCTCAAATTCTCTGGCTCGCACACTGCATGATCATCAGATTTGGCTTTGTTGTTGTTGTTGTTTTTATGATGGAAATGTGACGAGAAGAAACCAGATAATGACATAGATTGTCGTCAGATGAACAGGCAAAAAATAATAGCCACATAATGCTGAAATCGGCGAAGTGTAATTATGCGAAAAACAAAAGGTACAACGGTTAACACATACGTAAAATGACGCGAATTTCGTATGGCCAACAAACGACCGGCCACGGACCATGCTCTTGAACAAGACGGAAAATTACCATTTTTTACTGTTTCTGGTATTTGTTACCACCGTACGTGTGTGTCGATTCATCGAAATATTCTGCAATTCGTTTCTTTGTGTCGATTTAACATGTTTAATGCCCCAACTGCGTCAAAGTGCCACAATCCGCTCTAAAAATAACCACACATCGACACTTTTTTGTTGTTGTTGCTGCTGTTCCGCAATGACCTTATCGCGGTGCATTGCAAAAATTTATATTTATTTTTCGCATTTCATGCAACTATTAATTGCATATAAATTCTATCGAAGCCTTCGATTAGCCCCATCGACTTTGCATTTTACATTTCTATTTTTGTCATGCTTTCATTACAATCTTGAAATGAAAAAATAGGGAAATTATTGAAAAACTGCAATCAAAAGTCCATTTTCTGATCCCTAATTGAATTTTGCTTATCTGTTTGCAGCGAAAAATGATATTTTTCTGCTGGGTTCTGTGAACAGTGCTTGTAAACCCGTATCAAAACCACATTTTCGCGTGAAGCATTTTAGTTTTTTCGTATCTCGTTTGTGGCGACAACTCTAATGATAGCGAACGAGCAGCAGCAGCAGCAGCAGCGTCAGCAGCAACGGCAGCGCTTAACAGTCACAATCGTGTATTGATACGCTCTCTTGCTTTATCTCATTGAATGGCACTTGTTCTATTTTTAGATTCCAGTCCGTTCGCTGTTTTTTTCGTGTGTATGTTTTTTTCTTCGCTCGTTTTGTTTGTGTGCCATAGTGTCGGCGAGTATGTGCTAGTCACCGCCGCGCTCAACGTTTCGTGCTCAAATCGTGATATGGAAAAAACTATAGAGTTGAATGAGAAAATAAAATCCGCTCGTCACACACAGAATTTATATTTTTATCATCATTTGTGCACACATAAAATTGGAATTGTACATCGGAAACCCATCGATTTCATTATCCTCATAAAATGAATGCAACAAATTGGAACGATTTTATGTTTTTCTTTGCGAAATTTTCGGCACGCAGAGTGAAATCGTAAGCGAAAATACATCTGGTACGATCATTTGGATGGCATTCGCGCTACTTGATTTTCATTAAAGCCTATATTTAAAAAAAAATGATTCAAGTATGAAGAGACACGGCTAAATGAACGACACAAAACATAATAATAAAATGAAGCAAAATGTCAACCACGAACGAAAGTTCTACGCTCACTAAAATAAAATTGCACACACATGTGTGTATGTGTACGAATCACGTTGAACATTGGATTATTCCATGTGTGTCAGGAAAAGAGAGAAACGAAAACGAAACGACCAGAGTGGACCGAATGCTAACAACAAACGGCGCACGACACTCTGCTCAGCGCAAACCCGTTTCGCTTATGCATGAACATTTGAGCGCGCGATTGCGGCTGTCAAAGCATGCGTTTATTTTTGCGTCGTTCTGCGCACTGAAATCGCTGAATCGGCGCTGTTGGTTTAGGTTTGTGTTGGTTATTTTTTTCGCTGCTTTTGTTGTTGTTAGTAAATAAAAGGAATCAATGGAAACAGCCATATGCATGGATTGAATTGGAGCGAGAGCAATGGTTTGCATGTTACACACGCACACAATCAATTTAATTCTGTCATCGTGTGTATGCGCGCTCGCGGCTCAGCCGAAACCGTCACTGATAATTTACTCTTTTGTTTATTCAAAGCGTATCAACGATGAGTGCGGCCTGATAATTACTTAATATTGTCACCGTCTTTGTTCGTTGTCTCGACCCAGCATTTTATTCAATCGATTCGAAAAATTCCAATGGCTTGTCTACATTTTCATTGTACATTGTCAATGTTCGCGCAGAACGAAGTGCAAATATTTAGGTTTCCAACACAGAAGTCAGCTTTCAGCATATGTGCACACTGCACATATGTTCGCATGAATTAATGACCCGTTAGCGTTTGATGTGTGTGGCAATAATAAGAATCAACATACGAAACGCGATGATGAGATCTGCACGATCAGTGATGTATGTATGCAGCGGAATCAATTCCGACATTTTTCGCTCTCGACAACAATGTTTACATTTCGTACGCTCACTCGTGACTTTCATCAAATAGTGGTTTGTTTGTGGAAAAATTGGCCCGTTTAAAGAGGTCCATAAATTCTTCTTTAAACAAACAAATCGAGAATAAAAAAAACCTAAAAAAAATTCGAAAAAAATTATATCTCGAAATAAAAATGATTAGCGCCCAAAAATGGATGAGCCAACGATTGAGCAATGCGTGTGACTGGTTAGCATCCAATCGCGATTGGATGTGGTTTTTTGTTCGTTGAGCTCACTTTGATGTGGCGAATTCTTGGGATGTTTCACTTTTTATTTGCACCGTTCAAAGTGCTAATTTTGCACATGCAACAACACAACGCTTGCTCAATAACGTCATTACTGTGAATTCTTCGCTTTACTTACAGGCAATAAAAACCGATTTTACGGTCAGGTTTCTAACTTTTTTTTTATAGTTAAACCCAATCTGCATTTCTATTGAGTCCGACATTTTTTTTCTCCAAAGATGTGAGATAACAAACAAAAAATTGAATGAGAGATAGAAAAAAAAAACAACAGCGTCAGCCACCATTCACAGAAAAGTCATGAGTATGGAGTGCGAGCATAGTGGAATGTAAACAAAAAGTAATAATTAAGTAGAGTGTGTGTGTGTTTTTATTTTAGTTTAGAATGTGAAGAAAATGACTTTAGAAATCACATGACATAGTGTTACCATTTAGTTTTTTTTTATACATATTCGGTGTGGCTTGCTCGCAATTGATTGGCTGCTACTTCGGCTGCTGCGATTGCTGCTATCATGTCACGTCAATGACGTTGCATATGTGTGTGTGTATGTGGTTGATTTCATCTTGGCAACAGTTAGTTTCAGATCAGCAATGAGCAAGCAACTCGGGCCAGAGCGTGAAAAAGCGGTCGAATATGAACGAAGCGATAGAAATAAAGCACGAGCTCATAAATTGATGGAGTAATTAAACGGTCTACACTCTCTATTTTGTGTCGTTCGGAAGGAGCTTTAAAATGTGGGCATGATTGAATCAATGTTAAATCAATCCATATGCGCTGTCTTGTGCCTGATCTCACTCACTCTCTCTCTCTCTCTCTACCTCACTCGCTCTTCCTCTATCTCACTCTCTCTCGCTTCCGCTCGCTCTGTTTTTCGCATGCAAAACGATGCGGTCGCCACAGCCCGCTACATTCCCTTTATTCCTTTCAAGATTCGAGCGTGAGATGCTTTATTATACTTTTGCTATGGCGTGACACAAACCATTTGCTATCGCACGAATACAATTAAAATGTTTGCTTTCCGAATCGGTCGCGATGTTGACAAAAAAATAAAATCATCGCGTACAATGAACAGCGAAGCAACCGTCTCCTTCCGCAGATGATTCGTAGCGATAAATGGAGGCAATCTAATGGACCACCGTAAGTCGCGACCAAACAACTTTTGAAAGAACGAATCAATTGTTTGATTTTCTTCAATTTAACTCAATTGAGCAGCTCTCGCGTGTGCATACAGTTCAGAACGCGTTTGAGTGTGTGTATGTGTGCGATCAAGCATAGTCCAATTTCTTGTGAGCCAGTCAACAATCTTTATGAAAATGGTTTTCATGCGTTGACATTTGATTGCACTTGCTGCGTCATCTGACTATTTCACATGATTGCTGACTCAATCCAATCCAGAATGGAAAAAATCCATTGGCTCAGAACAATGTTTTTTTTTTGATAGGACATTCACACGTGTTTCTAAATACTTTCGATCTATTTTCTACTCAATTTTTTGTTTGCCATTTGTTGTGTTATCAAAAGTGGAAGTTTTAATTGCAATTAAATAACAACAGAACGCTAATCTCCCAACGAATTTCCCCAACCGAAATGACAGCTTGACATAAATACGTCAGTTAAATGACTTTATTGTGCATATAATCCGAGATAAAATCTGTCGTCGGGTTATCATGGCAGTTCAAGTCCCGATAAACGTGATAATAGGAAATTATATCGCTAATCCCCTAGACACCAAATCTTCCTCTGTTTACACGCGAATTCAAGAGCATCAAGAAGCATCCAACAAACAAATAAACAAATAAAACACGAAGCATAAATAAATTATTCGAAACTGTTGAATCGATGCTACATACGGCTTTTATCCTTGCGTATTTTTCGCAAAGACTAGTTTCGATTGACCTAACAATTGGGCAATCAATTACATCCGTCGAATCGAGAGGAGAGAAAAAAACCGATCGGAATATATTTGCGCGTCTCGATCAATACAATCGCATCGATTGAATAATTTATTCGACAAATGGCATCGCCAATCAAAACAGACCATGGATATATTGGAACTAAATTTATTGGCATGCAAATCAAAAGAAACGAACCGAAAATCGTTCCATTAGCTAGTGTGTTGTGTCGAATGAAAACACACAAATCAACGATCTTCACGATCAAAACATCGTTGTGATAATAGCCAGCCCGCACAGTACACACACAATTGTGAGCACTGAGGAAAATTACAATACGCAGACATTGAAAGGAAACATCGTCGGTTTGGCCGTTGTTCGTGCAATATGCTGTTGCCGATTTGTCTTTGGCTGTGTGCGTTGATTGTATTTTTCTATGTGTATAACATATGCAACACAACCAACAATGAAAAAACACAAACTATACACCAAAAAAAAAACAATACACACACAGAAAGGCAGACAATAGCACAGCGTAACCAGCGAAAAACATAAAATTGACACGCTTCACTTTGACAGTGTTTTTTTTTCGGGCCGTTTTTATTAGTTGTTGGCGCTGTTTTCCTTTATTTTTGCTCGTTCTTGTTTGTTGCCGTTGCCGTTGCTGCTGATTTGTACTCGACTCTATCTGTCGCACAAGGCAATGTTTAAATAATAATAATAAAAATGGCTTGTCGCTTTTGTTCGGTTTTCAGTGCATTTTACACACTTTTACTGTGCTCACCAAACGCTAAACAATCAGTCGGTGGTCGTGCATCGATTTTTGATCATCGCTTTTTTTTCGGTGTATCTTTTTTTTTCATCGCAGTGAACTATTCTGTTTCGGTACAATCGCACATCAAGTCCGTTTTGTATATTTGGCTTTGGCTATTTTTCAACAACGGTTCACAGCGTCGCGTATTTTTTTCTCATTGGAAGAAAAGAATATTTGAAAAAGCGATAAAAACGTGAATTTTTTTCTTGTGTGTAAAGTCTTGTTGTGTAGATTCTGGTTCGTATTTATGGAAAAATTTCTAGACGAACACAAATAAATTTGGTGAATTTCTTGTTCCGTTTTTTTTTCGCGTTGATTAAAATTAGTGTCACTCATTTATTTGATCGTCCATCAAAAACGAGGAACCAAAAACATGATTTGAGTAACATAAACATTTGAATTTTCTAACTAAAAAGAGGTAAACTAAACTTTTCTAACTAAAAAGAGGTAGCGTTATTAAAATTTATTGAACCAAAATCTGCGTTTAAAGCAAAAATCACTTAAGAAAATGATGAAATATTTGTGAGAAATTTTTTTTATGTGAATTTAAGTTTTTGCTTTCATTTAATTTCAATATGTCAACAAATTTCGTCAGTAAAAAAGTTCAGAGAGAGTGAGAGTGAGAGAGAGAGAGAGAGAGAGAGAGAGAGAAAAAGAGAATTGAAAATCAGTTCATAGATTTCACGACGCGAGAGAAAAAAATATGTGCTAAATGATAAGTTGTTGCATGAAATGTGATATGAATAGTTTGATATTTGTTTATTCAGCCCAACCCGACAATATTCAATGCAATTCAAATAAAAATCAACGCGATCGTGTTCAAGTTTAAGTGCGTGGGCTGCCAATCGCTTGAAAGAAAAAAATATTGCGAGTTTTTAGTTTCATATAGTTGGATGCTTAAGTTTTCAACACATTGCAATATTAAGTGAAAATTGTTTTTTTTTTCTCTCAACTTTTAATTTCTTAATTTTGCTCGGTTGATTGAAATAAAAACAAATGGGAAAAGTAATCAATCATTTAGCTACGTTCCAATGAAAGCAAACAAATTTGCAATTTGTTAGCCTCATTTTATGCAAATCATTTACGCATATTCCATTTCGAGCAAATTTCCCGATGAAATCAATTTGTGTCGCTGAGCATATAAATGGGAATACAGATCTGTTACAGCAACAACCGAACATAAAATATTGTTCCCTAAAAACGTTACATGAATTTCTATCCAACGCGAGTGTTACATGAGCTAATACTGTTTCTAATGCAACTCATGTTACACTCGCGTTAGATAGAAATTCATGTAACGTTTTTAGGGAACAATATTTTATGTTCGGTTGTTGCTGTAAAAGATCTGTATTCCCATTTTTATGCTCAGCGACACATTTCATTGACGGAAGAACGATTTATCCGAAGTCATCGACTAAATACTGTCAAATGGAAACGACCGTGTTATTACCACTCATTAGTCGTTGCAAAACACGAGTATTAGCCGTAATAATTATGGTTTCGTTTGATATCAACACACGATTATCTATCATATATTCGAAACTCCCCATTTATTTGCAACAGAAATCACAGATTAGATAACATGTATATTCCGACGTGTGGTGCTGTAAATGGTGTAAGTGACGCAGTGGTACCAGTGCTGATACTTCTGATTTTTTAATTACCTCGCGCTTATGTGTTCCACATCAAACAACTGTTCGACACGCGTTTGACGTAAAATCTAGCGGTATCGATTATATCTAAGTTCGAGAATGTCTCGAAGAAAATAACGTAATTTTTTGTCTCTTGTTGAAAGTCACTTGTTATTCAATATTCATTGAATTTAAAAATAACCCAAGATTTCGAAAGCAAGCAAATTTGGTGGAATGTCTAGAGGGCGATTCGAGAATTCACTTCTCATTAAACAAAATCGTGACGAAAAAAGAAAGATGAACATGAAAAATCGGCATATTGTTTTTGTTGATTCCTGATGACGGCGAATGTATGGTCATCAATGGGCTGACACAGGGCGATGATTCACCGAATTCGGTCTCACGCGATTCAATGTCATTATCGTAGCCGATATATGTTGTAGTCATTAATGGACCTATTAATTATTCATAATTTTGACTCTCCTCGACTTCTGCACCCATCGATAAGAGTCCATTCGATCGAACAAAGCAATTATCTTCGTTTTTGCATTCAACACAATCGAAATCACTCTCAATTATATATTTTCAGTCGATAATTTGCCAATGAAATCAACACATTACACAGGGCGATCGTTTCGAAAATGAAAAGGTGCTGGCTGCAAAAGACAATTGTTCAACTTGCACGACGAATGAAAAGGGGTTAATTGACATTGAGTGCACACTGCACACCAACAACGGTTTGTGTGTGTTCATGAGTTCTCAGCTCAGCCCGAGACACACTCAGTCAATTCGCGTGCGATTTGTAATTGAATTATTTAAATTTAGAATTATTTAAATTTTAGCACACTTTTTTTTGTTGCAACGTTCATTCGCAATTTCGATGCATCGAAAAATATGTTCACGCTATTTTCTGTGTCAAATGCGATAACCACGAATGTAGTTTTTACCACAGCATATTGTAAAAAAAAAATTTTACGCAGCTTATAACAGCGAAATTCATTTGCGAAAATGCCGTTTTATGAGACAAAAATGTGCAGAATTCATTCATTTTTAATTGATACATGCGTTTCAAATTGATGAGAAATTAATTGAACGACCGTTTTTGATTTGACGGTACGAGCGCAGATGCAAAAAACCAACAAACAAACAGAAACTAGCCAGACCAAAGAGCGCAAATAACTTGATAGTGTTTTGAATTTTGATTGGAGTCAATTTAATGGAACCGCCGGCCCGATTCTTGCTCCGTAAATCGTATAACTTAATTATGAATCAAAATTTATGAAACGACATTTTCATTCAAATTTATGTTAAGCCAATATGTTGGACTTGGTGCTTAGTATTTGTGTCAAGTCCTTCTCAAAAACTGAATTACGATCCGATTGCAATTTTGTGCACTGTTTTATTTTTTCTTGCAAGGTAAATAAAAAGCAAATGTTAAATCGGGCGTAAAATAGTTGATTTTATGCGCAAAACTTTTTGAATGGCACATTTCACCGTTGAACGTTGAACGTATCACATTTCACGGGTTGTCAGTCAGTCAGTCATCGGGCAGAAATTCAAGGCATATGGTCAAATATATTTCTCTAGAGTGATTAAAAACTTGTTTCAAGTGCTGTTTGCGTACAATAGATTTTTGGACTCGCGAACAAGATGCCGTTTCGGCCATAAACAATTAGCAGTTTGAGTTGCATTTAGCGAAAAATGCGTAGTTTTTCGGCCAAATTTTGTGAATGGAACCAGTTGACGAATGCCACCTGATACGAAAAATGAACAAGCCGAGGTGCCAAATTTAATTAAAATGAACATCGACCATATCGGGCAAGTTGTCAATTTAAATTACAATGTAAGCCGCAAACAAAGCGAAAAACGATTAAAAATATAATTAAAGAATAAACGGAAAATTCCCTTTGTTACGCGAAGACGAATAAAATTCGTTGAAAAATTCCAGTTTTTTCGCTCTCTCCAGCTCACTGAATCACAAACGAATGAACAAAAAAAAGAGGGCAACAATAAATAATAAACAAAAATGTAAAGGAGAGCAAAAATAAGCCCATTTTTGTGATTTCGAAAATTGCAATGGAATCGGACAAAAATCGGACAAGCGTGAGCAATTGGACTTGGCCAATTTATATAATGAGTCCATTTAATTAGTTCGATCGTCCTTAAACTCCAAAACGAAATGCATCAAAACAACACGAAAGTGCCATTTTTCGCGAATATCAAGATATCGTGGAAAAAAAACTCTCTCCCATAATGTTCAGTTGATGTGAAAAGTAAGCAAAAAAAGCCAAATGATAGTAATTTTGCAGGAAATGAAAAATATGCGTTGGCATCGTCAGTCAATCAAAACAAGAATTATTGCCTGGAAGTGTAAGGAAATGTACCCGAAAAAGCAATGATGGAATGAGTTTCATTGTTTCGAATGGAATTGTTTGTATTTTTCATGGATTTTTTTTATGATCTTGTTTGCCATAAAAACCGTGTCATTTTGGCATTTAGCGTCATATGCTCAGCCCATGAGTTGGCCCCCACTTGGCCGAGTTCAAGCGGATGACAAAATGAAAAGGTGCAACCGATACATGTGTGTAATTGAACTCTCTTCTTACGTTCACAAGTAATATAGACATTTTCGGGAATTGTATTTCAATGACGAATATTTCAGCGAATAATTCTGCGAGTGAAAAAAAGAGTTATTTTTAAAATCAATTCAAATGTTGACCTTCTTTCAATTAAAAATGGTTTTCAAGATTTCTTGTCATGATAACAACTATTGATTTGTCATCTGATAATAAAAACATCGAATAATATCATCTTCAATTTGGTTAATTACTTTGTATAAATTTGAATATTGATGACACAAAATAGATTTTTTTTTTCTCTAAGTTGTCAATGAAAGTGACAGTCGATTGTCACCGAATGCGTTGGGAACAACAGCGAAATTATGTCGGTTCATGGAAAAAATGTGTTTTTTTTTTCGCTCTGCGCTAAAATGAAAAATACAAAATATATGCGCGACATATTCAAATGAATTTTGCTTGCTTAAGGTCATATAAATGGCAATTTTTTTCGTTTCGTTTGACTTGTATTTGGCTGAAATGCAAACGGCGTCAGTCACACACAGTTTGTTGTTGTTTTTCTTTTCGTTGTTGATACACACAGGCTTATTCTTAAATTGCGTTGATATTGTGAACGCAAATGCGAACAAGAACCATAAACAAATCGAGTTTTGATGATCACCAATTTCATTGTGTGTCTGCGATCGCGCGCACGAGCAACCGCCCGCCCGTCAAACAGTGCTTTTATTTCTCCTTCTGTAGTTATCAAATGAATTTCCAACATAACTTTAATTAGTTCGGCCGAATGAATTCGGAGTCATACACACGCACACACATACTCAACTGGAGCTCAACAGCGGGCTGATTTATCGTAGTTTTATTGTTTTGATTATTGTCATTTTCTTTTCAATTTTAAATTGCTCGATTTTGTACGTTTCAGTGACACAAAAGAATTAACAATATCTGAATAGAACGAATTGCCTTTTTTTTTTGTCGTCGTCGTATTTCAATTTGAGAAATTTCAGTATCAGAACGTTGACGAAATAACACTTCAGCAAAATAACAACTCAATTATTTTAATGGATAACAAAGACAAAAAACAAATAACGATATGTGTTATAAATAAAACAGGCATTGTACAATACGCTAAATTTATTGCTGTGTGAATGTATGAATACAGAAAGGAATTTTATGAGTTTATAGTGTGACCGTGTGGCGTGATGAAAACCGCTATCAACGATGAGTCAAGCGCCCGCTTAAATAAATAATTTGAATTTGTTGCAAAATAATTTTAAATTTTAATAGAAATTCTAAAAATAAGCTCGGGCCGCCGAACACAACAGCTACACACTGTTTGTGTGTTGGCATATTGTGATCAGTCCAATGGCTTCTATTAGCATTTAAATAGAAATGGTTAGTCTCTCAGGTCATGCGCTCCCTATTATTGATTGATGTAAATTTAGTGTGTGAAATTTGCATGAAAACATTGCTCTCGATTAGCGATCTCTCGTCTCGGCCCAGCAGAACATTCGATCCGTGTGAAAGAATACACAACAAAGTAAACAAATCACATCCCAAGCAAAAATTCACACTGAATCGACGTCGCGTTAACATATATCTGACACTGTTCTCACACGGTTTTGAACGTCAATGCAATTTATGTTTGTATTGGACAGTGTGGAAGTCGGCCGAACTGTTTTACATTTAAAACCATGTCGCCGAAGTGTATGACCGTTGCGTTATCATGGCGAATTTCGAAACCATTTTTGGTGTCGATTCTTGATACCCGATATACTTACACTGCATCCACACGGTTATTTGAAATGATGTCAAACGGCTTCACACTCTATTATACTATAGCCACACGGTTTGACGTTCAGAACCCCGAGGGAACAGTGTCAGATATGCGTTAACGCAACGTCAATTCAATGTGAATTTTTGCTTGGGATCTTCGTTCTCTCTCTCTCAGTTCCTCTCCCCTCCTCTCTTCTTTTCTCTTTCTTTTTCACTTAAACTTTCAAAATAAGCTGGCATAATTCGAAGTGTGGTTTTGTAAATATTTTCTCAAGTCAAAATCGCGTCGAGAATTACGCATTCATGAAATGACTAAAATAAACAGACAACCGCAATTGCGAGCGCATGGAATACATTTCGAAACAATTAGAATACGTTCAAGTATCGTTCTCAATTTTTGCTTCAAAGGCAACGTCAATCTATCATCAAATGTGAAAAGTACATTTCCAAAAAACAAGCAGAAAAAAAAAACGTTTTCAATCATTAAATAGCAAACAGTCATATTGAGTTTAGAACTAGGTTAGATGATGCATAAAAGGGAGCGCAACTTTTCAACTCGAGTGTACTAATGTGAGGTCTCTTTTTTCTTTTCATTTGCAGGATTTGCGGTACGATTTTCGTTTTTTCGGTGTGCACGGGATTTTGCAAAGATTTCGTTAATGCGCGTGTGTTTTGATGGGCTGTGTTTCGCAAGTAGGCGAGCAGCCGCTGTAGACGAAGAAACGCAAACCGTTTCGGACGTTCAAGATACCGGTGGCGGTGATTGTGGTAACGGTGGTGGTGGTGGACAAACCAACCACGTATACGACGATTCATCCTGCAACAATAGCAACACAATAGCTGAACGAAATCCGGCGACGGAGTCAATAGACACCACGGATTCCAGTCACAAAATTCACAAGCATCATTGTTCGGCCTCGTCAACGGCACGATCCAAGCTACTGTCATTGCTGTCGCTTAACAATATCGATAAGAAAATTTTCTTCCTTCGCGCCAAAATGGATTCACACGATGCGCCACGAAACCATAATAATGCGAATAGCAACACATACGATATAGATTTAGTCAGTAGAAACTATAGTAATAGTGTGGTGAGTGTTTCGTTTCTCTCGTTTTCTTTCTTCTCTACACACATATGTATATCAAGTGGGTTTTAAAACGGTTCTCTTTCTTTCTCTTCATCTTTATAGACCAATAACAATAATAATGATCTAACGAAAATGGATACGACACCGACAACCATAACAAATACATCCACATCGTCGGCTCATCCGTTAATCGTCGACACGAATTCAAACGAAATGGCAACGTGCGACTCAGCATTTCCCTGTTCGCCAACCAATTTACTGCTCAACGAACGAATCGGTGATCTGTGCGTGAGCGGAACGGGTTGCCCAGCAGCAAATATGGAACACAACAGCCTAGCAAATCCATTTAGTCAAACAACGTTCACAGCGAACGGTGCAAATTTATTGAGTAGTGAAGAGCATTTGTTGCAAGTGATTCAAATTAAATCGGCCCGCATCCAGGAGCTGGAAAATTTGTTGCGATGCAAAGAGAACGAAATTGCCGAGCTAAAAAGTCATTTGGATAAATTCCAAAGTGTATTTCCGTTTAGTAGCCGCGGTCGGAAGGGCGGTGTTCACGGTGCCAATGGCCAACGACAACGGGCTCAAGGTATTTCGGCTGAGCCGCAAAGTGAAAGCTCTGTACTGGAATTGCTGCATGTCACCTTCCCCAAATATGAAAAAGATGAGCGGTAAGTGTGTTATGAACATTCATTATCTCATTTCAATCGATCGGTTGTTCGAAATGAAAGAAAGTGTAGGTTTTGTTTGAGGTGACCATCACCTAATCTCAAATTAATTGAGATTATCTATCGAAACAATTCAATCACACCAGCTTTCGTTATATGCGTCACCTTATCGCAAAACATTTTTCTTTCGCATTCAATTCACGCCGTACACAGAAGACAGCACCTTTGATAATAATATCAATTTTGTTTCGCTTCATCTCAAGGCAAATGTGGTGCATTTACGTTCATTGAAATTCATTTAAACCTGATTCATTCCGTTTGCGAATGCGAAGGATAAGCTCAATTGCAATCTTATTGTCTGCTGTGGTGCCATTGTACTCAAAAGGGCCAAACAGCCGATTTTTATAATAAACTGAAAGAAATGCTGGTCGTAATTAAATGCGAAAATTTATTGCTATTGTTTGTTTGCGTCACACAAAAGGAACGAAGGAATGAAGAGAAAACAAAAACAGAATACACAAAAAAAAACGCGCTCTCAACATATTTTGTTTAAATTCTTTTTCCGCATTCATTAGGTCACACTCATTAGAAGTATTTTACACACGATATCACTGTGTCGGGTCATTTGTGATGTGATATCGTGATTTGTTGATTTTTTTTTCTTCGTATTTTTCGCAAAATTAAAGCAATTTTAAATTCAAAATAGATTTAAAAACCATCGCGTTGATATTGTAAACAAACGGCGTGTGTTATCACATAAATACGTTGAATTGGAGCAAAGTGAGCGTTTAACACGTTCGATTCGTGTGAGAGAAAAATGTTTCGACATTTCTTTCTACAGCAACAGAAAAAAAGTGAACATGGAATGGACTGGGGCAGTGATCGTTTATATCAACGCAGCTCTTTTTTTCGTATCATACGGACAGCTTCTCCTCAATTTCATCGGATTAAATGCGAAATAATATATATCATTATCGTGGCTTTTATTCAGTTCAGTTTAGTGCGTACACGCAGACCTGTCAGCACACCGAATCATGGCCTGTAATTTAACGTCGTCAATGTGTTTGAAAAGAAATCAAAGATCCGATGCCACCACAATGGCTCCACGTTGACAGAGTAAGCACGCGATTCCACATACCAACTTCGCACTTTATATACACTCAATATTCAATACCCACCATTTTTGGCATCGCATCTCACATTTTATAAAAATCACGCCGTGATTGGGTCGAAATCTCACCAAATTAATCGACAGAGAGAGAGAGAGAGAGGGAGAGAGAGAGAGAGAGAGAGAGAGAAAATGTTGATATGAAAAATGCCAGAGACCACAAAAACCGCTATCTTAAATCATGTGAATAATATGAATATGACATTTTAATTAGCTGTTCGATTGATATTTATTACATACAGAAAGGCGCGTACAGCCGTGTCGTACAAAATCAGTGCGTCCAAATCGTAAAAGTGCAACACAGCGCTTAATATCACCACACGTTTACTGCCGACCGTTGGCAACGGATCTCGCTCCATTCACGAAATTGAAAAAATCAAATCCAATAAATAATTTATGATATATGCAACGACTCTTGCTAATGATTATGCGTTGCATTTTTATGCATGCCCCCAATGAATATTGGTGCAATTTTTCAATTCAAATGTTCGCGAATTTTATATATACGCACCGTGTGCAGAGCACTCGGTTTTTCATCGTTTTCCACCGTTATAATTATGTGTGCGACCGCGCGGCAGTATTTACTTTCCAGCCGAGTCGGCTTTGGTTAATACAATTAATACAGACGCACCGTAGTAATATATGTCAAGCAAATTGAAACCGGCATTTCGACGGAGGTTACCACCTCAATGAAAGATTCTCTTTAATTGTTCGGCTGCTTATTGCAATCTCTCATGGGTCCAGAAAAAAGACTCTGATATCGAAAAAACTGCAGAAGTCACGTACGCACTCGAAAATGACGGATTTTTATCGGTCATAATATTTGGGCAGACAGGCAATTAAGGTTCATTCTTATTCAAAATAAATTATGCTCAGAGCAGCGCCTTCGTTTCAAGTAATGATTTGTGTGTGGTGCGGCTGCCGTAGGTCAAAATCTCACAAAATTGCCTGGCACACGGTGTATAGCTGAAACTCGGTCTGTCTGGCTGGGCTGCGTTGAAAAGTCTGAAAAAAACGGCAGACAGACGGTGAACAACGCAATGAGTATGCGCTTGCCAGAGTCAATTTAAATGATCTGTAATGAACAATGAACTATTCAACAAATTATTCTGTGCGCCCTCTCATTCAACAATTCAGTGTCTGTCGATTGGGTTGTGTGTCGATTGTAAAACATGTTGCCGTTTTTCGCGTTCGTAATTAATATGTTGTAAGTTGAACATAACAACGCTGCATACACAGAGAGCAAGAGAAGCGATAAAAAAAAGTCATGCGTTCGCGCATAATAAATACATTTGTGCCACGCAAAAGTCCTACGTACGTCTCTCCGTTGCACTCTCTAAGTCAGCCCAAACTGATCGATGACTATTTTCATAGAGCAAAACGATCAATAAAATACAATGCAGCATAAAATATGCAGCAAACGAGACTTTTACTCTTTTTTTTAATGTAATGCAAAATTTGCTCTTAGGCTAATTTATTTCTATATAGATTGTGTGCTCTGTTGTTGTTGCTGCTGTTGTTGTCTTGTCGCTGTGTTCCGTGCTGCGCGATAGATTTAATTGAAACGCACGGCACGCGTGTGTCGTTCGACAATGTAGCCGCTGAAAAGTCAATTTGAAAAATTGCAATCGAAACTGAAGCAGACAATTATAAATAGCATTTTGTTTGATGCTGTCGAATTCAGATGTTTCCACTTATTTTGTCGGAGAGCAATTGGCAGCCATTGATCATTTGTAGCCTATACGCGCGCTCACGCACACTCGTCACATTTGCAACATTCACGATAATCTGACACGCAGCAAAAGAACGAATGAGAGCTAAAAGCATCGACTCGTCGCCACCGCGGCCGTCGTCGATGTCGTTGTTTGCTCGAACTAACGGCGATCATGTTTTTCAAGAACACAATTTAATAAGACGATCTTTCTATACAATTACCTGCAAAACGACAGCTAAGCACTTTTGATTTTGTGTTGTTGTTGCTGTTTTTCGCGTTTCTTTTTCTTGCTTGTGCACAAAATGAATACGAGCGAATTTCTATTCCGTCGATATATAGGCAGCCAATGAATTTGTATGTACACAAGTGTGTTTGGTTGTTATGTAGGCTGTTCACCTATGTACACAATGTATTCAGCTCATTTTTCTGGTTTTTTTTTGTCGTGTGTACGTTTGTTTCGTTCAGTTTTTTCTTCGTCTTTTTCACATTTCGTCGATCAGTGCAGCCTATAAATCATTTTTAAGGTGCGAAAGAGCAACCGTGAAAACTGTGTGTACTCATGACACACACACACACACACACACACACACATAACACTCAATTGTGCTCTTCCTTTTTCATGGAGCTTGTTTCGTTAAGAGAAAAAAAAAACGAACACTGGAACAAACAATATATACAGTATAAAACAATATCTCCGACGAAAATCTAAGCGTGCATCCAACACACAGTTGAGAAACGTAATGATGGCAACGACAGAAACAGGGGGGCCGGCAAATGTGTTGGTTGCTTAGGCCGATGTTTGTTTACATTTGTATTGAGTATCATATCTATTTGCCGCTGCTTAAACGCGCTAAACCAGTCAATGTAACAACGAGCCAGTGCTACCAAGCAGCTGAACGCTGAAAAATCAAGCATTTACATTGACTGACATAGTTCAACAATATTTATCTATGTCTTTTTTAAGACATACTCAAATTATTTAGCGCACCTTACATTCAGTATGATTTAGTGGCTGCTGCAGTTCGCACACACAATACAATCGAAAGAGATTTATTTGTTGGTCGGTCGCTCGCATCGAGCGAGATTCGTCGAAACATTTGGTGAACCACAAAGAAATAAAACAGAAGTAAAATTACTCAGAAAAGATATACGTCGAAGAACCACTGTGTGAAAACATCGTAGAACCACTAACCGAAATTTCAATCACGTTCACTGTGTTGTGTGACTCAGTCATGTGCAGTGTGCGCGTCAAGTGTGGTCATAATTTGTCTGCGATTAATTGAAAATAAAAACTGTCACTTTTGTTTATGTTTCACTGTAATTTAACGTTTTATTCACTTTACCGTAAAACTTTGCCGCTTTGTCACTACCACACCATCGTTGGTGACAATACAAAAATCGTAAAAAAAAGAGAATTGAATATAAAAAAGTGTTGTGCATGGTATAACGGCAAAAATAGATGTGATTTAGGACGTACTCTCCCCGGTTGATTGTATTTATCAACAAATTTTGTTGTTTTGGAGTTGATTTTGGCATCGAATTTGGTCTAATAAATATTTTACGTTTTTTCGGTTGGCGTTGAAATGACGACGCCGAATCGAAGAAGTGAAATATCAACCGTATTTTTTCTACGCTGAACTTGCGCGAATTAAAGCGAAAAATTACGTAAATTGCACACACCGAGCAGTTAAGATTGCATTCGAGGTCGAGCGCTCGAGAATGTTTCGTGCAAACGAGCTTTAATCTTCTCTTTGACGACGCTTTTTTTGTTGCTTCTTCTTCTTCTTCTTCTTCTGTGCAATTCCTTCGTCCGTCGAATGCAATAAAAGTTTTCACAACACTTTTGTGGGCATCTCTCTTTCGTTTGGCCTTTCTAATTTTAGAGGAATCAACGAACAGATGCACATTCATCATATCTTGCACACCGTTGCGCTTGAGTTCAAACGAGAGCGAATAGACGAGTAAGCAACAAATAAATCGGAAACTAAAAATAAATAAACCGCTTCAATGTCTATTGCACGCACGCAATTGCAAATAACAAATATAATAAAGGCCATCATTATAATGATGAAAACTTATTTAAAATCGAAATCGGAACAGCGATTTGTTTGAATGTTTTTC